GATGCAGCAGGTATCACTGGATGTCTGACGTTGTTACAGACCTGGATATACGAGTATTTTCCTGCGTTTCGACCACACCGTGACCCGGTTCCCATTGGTGATGGCCAGCCACGTGCCTGTGCGTGGAGTCCGCGTGTCGAGAAGAAGTCCGTTGACCGCCTGCGCTCCATACGGTTATCGCTTGACAGGATGTCCCCCTTAGAGGTACAGTGATTAAATTATTTCTACTTTTACAATCTGATGCTTTATTTTATGACTGTTACTGATTTTAAATAATGTGCAGGTGAACTGGATGCCTTTCGGCCAGAACCCTAGTAATAGGGTACCCAGGACCCTCTACACTGGACTGATTCAGTATCGCGAGATCGTAGAGGCGTACATGCCGCAGCGCTGTCTTCGCCAGCTTGGATTTGTCCAAGTTGTCCCACCTCCACCGGCATGGCCCAGTAAGGCGGTACGATCTGCGTCGTCGAAGGAGTACGTCGTCCAATGGCCGTCAAACATGATATCCATGTGGGAGCAGTTTCCGATGGTTGCCCGCCTATGGACGGCGGAGCTGCAGCGGCCGCCAAGTGGGGTGACTGCCATGTGTGACCAGCACTACATGGAATGGTACATCCGGCACTCGCACCCGAGGTTGATCAAAGACATCGACGACGCAGATGATGACGATGTGCCACCTGCCACTGCCTCTTATGCGGTACGTCTCATCTTTTATTTGTTGTTCTCTTATTTTAATATATATATGTATAATACGTCGTTTCATGTTTTTTGTTTTGTGTAGTGGATGGGCAAGATTATGCAGTTGGGACACCGACTTTTTGAGGAAAGGGACTGCATGACGAGTGCATCAGGCAGAGCTGTTATTGACGATCTGGAACGGACCCTTGAGCAGTGGCAGTGGGCGTCACAGAGGGATTACTGATATTTGAAATTAGACATTATCTTTTTAGTTTGTAATATTTGAAATTATTGTTCTTAGTTTTTAAAATTCAATATTATCTTTTTAGTTTGTAATATTTGAAATTATTGTTGTTAGTTTTTAAAATGAAACATTATCTTTTAAAAATGAACACATAGAAATGACATAGTATTGACAATACAAGGCCTCATAGTAAAAGGTAGGTGTACATCAACAAAAACTACATGGCAATTAAATTGTTCCACTGTTGCACGCGAGCATGGTACAAAGCATCCCAACCCTCCACGCTTGCTCTACGAATTTCATACCACTTTGGTATGATATGTGGGACCGGAAAATCGGGTGACATGTCTAATCGGATAAAATGTCTGTATGACGGCCCAAGAAATCCAATAGCAACGTCCCTTACCGGTCTGGTGACGGTCTCGCGCGAACACCAGGGCAGAACCGTTGTACATGGATAATAGGCTCGACTATGTAAACCAAGGCCGAAATGCATGACTGCACACTTGTAGATGTTTGCAACGGCAAAGAGATCAAGTGGCGCATCGAACCAATGATTTTGACCGCAAGGTCCCCCTCCCCACCGGATACGCTGCAGAGACCTATCCAAGTCCTCGCCGTACACATGGCCATACACATCTCGGTTTGATGCGATTTCACTGTACATCAACTGCCGCACTAAACCGTAGTTGTCTTCACCCATTTGAAACACATCCGCCACAACCCGAAATCCGCAGTTACCATCTGCAATGACATCATTCCACCCGTCCAAGAATGGCATCATGATATTAGGGATCCTGTCCTTATATGGAAAATGTTCAATGTCCATTCTCCCTGTTACACACATCAATAAACACAATAAACAAGTCAACAGTAAACTAATCAAACAGTCAACAAAAGAAATTGAAGTCGAATGTCTTACCGGTGCCGGGCATATTCACCGACGACGATGATTGGCTGCCACTTGATGAGGATGTACGACCACGGCCACGGCCACAGCCACGACCGCGAATGTACTCAAACGCACTCTTGTTCCGCCGTGGTTGTCGACCCCTAGGTCGCTCGACCCCTTCCGGTTCCTCGGTATCCAAACACGATGTATTGAACATGTCATGAAGTATGTGTGTAGCACTACGAATGATCGAAGGGTGACTGGAGGACACTTGGTCAAACATCAACTGAAACTGCTCCAACTCCTCCTGTTCACGGTGAATCGTATGCGGAACAGCATGCTCTCCGATAACGAGCGTCCGCCAGAATGGATGAACCTGATCGACATGTAACGACGCCCTGTCTTGCGTAATTACGCGGTGAATGGTGCATGCACAAGGTAATCCATGAGTCATTGATATAGCACATCCGCACCGAATAGCCACTTCATCGCCCAACTCCCTCATCCTGGTATACTCGCTCAGAATCAACCCCAAACAGTGGTGTGACACACGACCGTGGAGAATCTTAAATATGAAATGGCCATACAACATGCCATGTCGTCGTCTGGAGTCCTCGAGATAGTTCTTGATGCCGTTCCTCTGAGTATCAATAGCCTTGTTTATTCTCTCGAACAGTGTATCCAGAGCAGCCGTGGAAGAATCAATCCAGTCCTTCAAAGCTCTATGAGCGCTCTCGACTCTGCATGTCGTAGTGTTCCCAAAATGAAGAACTTGGTTCGTCCAATATTTGACAAACTTTTCCCTCTGAGGTACCCACTGATGCATCACATAGTCTACGATTGGCGGGCACCACTTGTACGCATCCTTGAAGTTTTCCAAGGCTCGATCGTACTCTGCCTCTGTGGTAGCTTGCATGATCTTCCGCCACTTACCATTTACCAATGTCTCTGCTGTTACTAAATTCTTGTTGAAAAGATTGTAGGCTTTGACTTTCACACAGTTGTTGATGTGCCATGTGCACAGTAAATGGCTCGACTCCGGAAACAGCTCCGCTATAGGGGCAAAAAGACCTCCCTCACAATCACTTACGATGGCCGATGGCTGTACATTTGGGCCGATGTAGTTTCTCAACTTTTCCAACACCCAACGGTAACTCGCAGCCGTCTCATCCTTCATGACTGCATAACCAATCAGAAAGTTTTGGTTCGTTGGAGCCATCCCAACCATCTCAACCAGTGGGAACTTGTACTTGTTTGTCTTGTACGTTGAATCGATCAAAATCACAGATGGCCAAGACGAAATCATATCAGCACAATCAGGATGGACAAGGAACAAATGAGTTACCTCCGATGTGTCTTCGTCAGATTCAAACCAGTAAAGGTAACCACGTGCTTGTGCCTGGTGCAGAAGCTGCTGTATAGGGTTCCTTCCCTCTGACCGTTCAAACCTCAATTTCTGTCTGACGTTGTAGATGTGTCTTCGGTTTGGCTGGTCTTCGGGGAATTTCTCTAACACAGACGCTAATATTTTAGCGGGCTTCACTTGAGCATCACTCATTTCTTTTACAACTAGTTTCGCAGCTGGACTTAGGCCGCTTAACTGCCGATGCCCCACTTTGTATGCTATCAGCTCATGGTTGTGATATCCCCATTTGCCGTAACCCTTCACTTCCCAACCGTCACGCCTTTGATGTTGTCGAACCTTAACTCGGAACTGACACCCACAACCTTTCCGCTTTGAGTCAAACCGAATCGCTTTACTGAAATCTCGTTCTTCTCTTTTGCGATAACGGTCGCATCTCAAAATGCGATCCATTCTACCATCCCGTTGAGATTTATGAGTTGCTACTACTAAACAAAAGCCTGATCTAATTGCAACCTGTTTTGCCCAATCAATCGCTTGTTGAGCATCTTCGAACAGGCCATCATGTACAAAAATCCCACTGTAATCATTTCCGTCTCCACCATAATCCTGTAACAATAACATATAACGTATAAATATAATTACATTAAGATTAAATTAACAAAAACAAACAAAAAAAAAAGGGGATTAAATTAAAAAATAAAAAAAAAAAATAAAAAAAAAATATATTCCCCTAGTGGCGCCTGGCCAGGCGTCTTGGCCGTGGCTGCGGCGTCCTGGCCACGCGCCACTACTATGGTCGAGGCTTCTCCACCAGGCGCCGTTACCACGGTGGCGGCGTCCTGGCTAGGCGCCACAACCACGGCATGGCCTTTTGGCTAGGCGCCAGCCACCATTTCGTCCTTACGATGCGTTACGAACCTCGTTTTCCGATGACGACGGCGATTCTCCGGTGATCCTCGGCGATCCGGTGCTGCTCCACATTTTTTTAGTGCGAAAAATTTATCTTCGGTTAAAATTATAAAAAGGGCAAATTTGTCAAAAAATTATAAAATGTGGGCTTTATGTAGAGATTTGCGGGCGATGAATAACAAGTCTCGTGTTTGCACCTTCTTCCTTATTTTTCATTTTCAGGATCTTTCTTTCTTCTTTCAGTTTCTCTCTCTACTCTTACTTTCCTCTCTCTACTTCTTTACTCTTTCATTTTCTCTTCATCTTCCGTGCCTAAGAAATCACTTCCTCTATTATGAAATTTTCAACCTACAATTAATCTTTTGTTGATAAAAAAATTTCGATCGTAAAACCAATTTCTCAAATGACGTTTTTTTCTCAAAATTTTGTTTGAATTGAGTTTTTGATTTATATAATTGAAATTCAATCAATTGTTTCTATCAACATTTAAGAACCTCCAGACACAAAAATAGATGATTGGCTTCATCTCAAATCATTATCGAAGCGACACAAAAATGGCTATTTGGTATGGCAAATTAATCTTCGTTTCTTTTCGCTACAGTGTTAGTCTTCATTATGGTGTTTCCCACAAACATTTATGATGATTGTTCTGGTGAATCTGGGATTTTTTGCTTCTCGAATTTAAAGCGAATGATAGTGGTTATTGATGAAATTCCTATGTTACTTCTCTGTTTTGTTTTGTAAAAAAAAAAAAAAAAAAAAAAAAAAAAAATTACTTTTGTGAAAAAGAAGGGTCACTTTTGTGGAAAAAAAGGGTCACTTATGTGAAAAAAAAGAGTCACTTTTGTGAAAATATAGGTCACTTTTGTAACAAAAAGGGTCACTTTTTGTAAAAAAAAGGTCACTTTTGTAAAGAAAAATGGTCACTTTTCACAAAAATATTTGATGTACAATAAAATTATTGTAAATCGGGGGCATGCAAAAGTTTTTGATGAAACATATAAAATACTTTATATTTCCTCCATTTCTATTTAGTTGACGCGTTAAATTTTGGCACATATATTAAGGAGAGGAGAAAGAGTGAGAGAAAATGATAAATCAAGTGGGGTACTTAATAAATGTAAGGTAAAAAACTTATACTAAAAGGAAACATGTCAACTAAAAAAAAAACTTTTAAAAAAGGAATACGTGTTAACTTAAATAATATTAAAAAATGGTGCACATGGGTTGACACAAATATCAATGAGAAGAGAGATAGAGAGAGTGCAAGTGGAAAAACATGTCAAACATAGTATGGAGCAATCTTTTGAAGACACTTTTAAAAAAAATGGAACAAACAATTAGGGACGGGGGAGGACGTGTTAACTAAAATAAATATGTTACACCTCACATTCTCACAAAGTCACAAGTCAACCTTTTCCTTTAAATTCTCTTAGGACTTTTGGAGTACTTTAGCTCATTTAATAATTAATTTTACATCCATATTAATATATTGATGGAGAAGAACATTCAAAGTGGAGGAAGTAAAAAGTGAGAAATGAGGTACGAGTAAATAGTTGAGACTTTTGAGAGATTGAGGAGAGTAACAGAAATGAAAAAAATCCCTTGGAGTTGAAAATAAACGACAAGGTACGAGACTACAAGTAAGATCGTTGGGTTCAAGCTCTATCCTCCAGATCTGACTTTCCATTATCTCATATCTTCACACCTCCTACTCTCCTAGCCTCCCACCAAAGTTCGATCATTCCAGGTACATCTACATTTTCGATACTATTTTCCATATAAATTTACTATTGTGTCAATTAATTCGCATATTCTTTGATTTTAATAGCTTAATCTTCCCAAAACAAGTGAACAAAATAAACAACTCAGTGTATCATAGAGTTAACAATAAAAATCTGATACAGTAGCATAAATAAATCAATCCTGAGCTTTAACCATTAGCTTAATTAATTACCAGCTCGCATTACTTATTGTTTTTAGAGATATGCTAGTTATTCTCCCAAATTTAAGCATAACCCTGTCATACCTAAGTTCAATTGATCAGCATAATTAATTTAAATCTAGTAAAATTAATTTAATTTTAACATAAATAGGAGTATTTTGTAAGTTAAGTTTTTTTTTTAAATTTTTTTTTTGACAAATTGTAATTTAAGTTCATACTTTCACTCACACGTGGGTTTGTTCATGGCCATATGAGAAACAGAGAAAGGATTGTGAACCATCATATCTTCATTATCAGCTACTATGGAAGCTGCATTTCAATCTGCCTTTGCTTCAAGTTTACTTACGAACTTAATCAAATTGATTGGTATCATTAAAGATGAATACAAAAAGTTCCAAAAGGGTGAGGAAGCAGTGAAATCGCTAGATACTACTGCCATATTGGCACAGGACCTGTTGAACAGCGTAAACACATTCCAGTTGGATGATGATACACTTCGACTGAGGTTGCAGGATCGCCTTGACACCATGGCGATTCTGTTCTTAGATGCAGAGGATTTGATTGAAGATGTACCAGATTTCACTCGGAAATCATCTCTTTCATCAAGGCTTAAATCCATGGTTAGTACTTGGGCAAATGACATTGAGGAGCTAGAAAGAAAACTTAAAAAAACAATTGAGGAAGTGAAGTCCATCATTGAACTTACAGGTCCTGCCGAAGCTATGGTGATCATGATAATATTGATACAGAGCTGTTATTACCTTTGATTGGAAGGGAAAAAGAAATCGCGGATGTCATCCAAAGGTTGATTACAGATGATGATTTTGATCATGGAGTGTGCATACTAGGTATGGATGGAATTGGAAAGACAATGCTTGCCGAAGCCACCTTGCTTGACAGAAGAATGTTGGAGCGATTTTGCTGCATTCGAGTTGCTTCGATGGAGGGATGCTTCGATTTCAAAGAAGCAACTCGCCAACTAAGGTTAATTATTGGCAACAACGGGGTCCTCCAACAACAAAATCAAAGGCTTTTAATCTTTTTTGACAATTTGCTAAATGTAGAAGTCTCTGCGTGGACCAAGTTTCGGGCTCTCATTAAAACTCAATTGGCTTACAAAGAGATTAAGTTCCTCATCACCACTTTCAATCCGGAAGTTTCAAGAATAACTCGCACAACTGCATACTACTTGAAGTGTTTGTCAGACGAACATTGCAAACAGGTCATTGTGAAAAAGGCACTCTTGCTTAATGAAAAATTGCCTGATTCGCATTTGTCACATATTGCCGGCATCCTAGCAACAAAGTGTGAAGGCTTGCCAGTGCTTGCTAGAATTCTTGGGATGGTGTTAGCTCAAGATAACATGGATGATTGGGCGGTAAACAGATTGAATAAGGACTTGCAAGATATGTCTGATGTTAAAAGGGAGATTATTTCTATCTTGAGGTTGAGCTATCATACTATGCAACCTCGATTGATGGTGTGTCTCGCCTTTCTCTCAGTCTTTCCTCATAAATACCCCTTCAATATGGATGATTTGATTCACCTTTTGGTAGCAGAAGGGATACTTCAGCAGGGTGAAGGCAGAGAATATTTTAATGATTTGCAAGGCATGTCAATACTTCAACATTCGGAACATGTAAACCACACCGAAAAGCCAAAATATGAGTTGCACAAATTCAGCCACATATTCTCTCAATTTGATGCTTCAAAGACATGTTTGCGGCTTGAACAAGGGGTGTCATCTATAAGTGATTCCTCAAACATTGAAGATGTTCGTCACTTGTCTTTGTTGTGTGGCGATATTCAACTTGATAAATGGACTCAACGTGAGAAATTCAAACGTTTGAGGACTTTTCTTTCTCTCAATGATAGAAGGATTGGTCCTGTGCCTCGCCAGCTTTTCAAGGCACTGGTGCGCCTTCGTGTACTGAAACTGAAAAAAACCGATATTACAGAGCTTCCAGACACCATACATAGGTTAAAGCGTCTACGAAAACTTGATATTTCCTTTACTCCTATAACCAAATTACCTGAAACACTCTGTAAACTTTCCAACTTGCAATTCCTCAATCTCACAAACACAAATCAACTTTTCCATTTGCCACAGCAGTTTCAAAAATTGACTAATCTGTTGTGTCTTGATTGGGAATTAAGTGACATGAATCGGCTTCATCTACCATCCCACATTGGAAACCTTCGTAGCCTTCAGACCCTCCCTCTGTTCATTGTGGGTGATAGTCTTAAAGGATATTGTATTTCAGAGTTGAAGAATATGAATAGTCTTAAAGGGTCAATTTGCATCCAATCTCTTGAAGTTGTCCAAAATCGAGCTATGGCAGAGGAGGCAATGCTTTGCAACAAGTTGTTGCTAGAAAAGATAGTATTGCAATGGATGAGATTGGTGGATGCAACTATTGCCGATGATGTACTCGCAGGCCTAGAACCTCATGTTTGTTTGAGAGAGTTGCATATAATAAACTACAGTGGCAAGTTGTTTCCGGAATGGATTTGTGATCCATCGCGAAGCCTTCAAAAGATACACTTGATGAAATGTCCATCATGTGAGATCTTGCCAGCACTTGGTGAGCTTCAAACTCTTAAGACTCTTGTCATTGAAGAATTTTCCAGTGTAACAGCTGTGGATCGCCGCTTTTGTGGAACATCCAGTGTTACTACGGACGTCTATTTTCCATCATTGGAATCACTGACATTCAAGAAGTTGGTAAAACTCCAGAATTGGACAGGATTGGAAGTAAATGACATGCCTCGCCTTCGAATTCTCAAAATTGAGAATTGTCCTGTGTTCATCAACTTGCCTTCACTCAAGAATCTTACTTCATTAGTTGAATTAAAGATTGAACGTTGCCCAAAAATGAGATCATTGCCAGAGCTACCTCCTTCTCTCGAGTCACTCAAGATAAGAGAGTAATTTACTCAAAGATCGATGTGCTATTGAATGTGAAGATTGGAAGAAGGTAGATTGTATCCATATGTAGAGATTGATTACGCAAGGATCCCAACATCGAGTGCCAATAATGTCCCAACACCGCCTACTCGGCCTGTTAGGATTAGTGTGGAGATAGATAAATACATGGAGACATAAGGAGATTGCATAGAAGCTGCCTTATTGTTAAGGTTCGACCAAACTTGTGAAAAGTTCGGTCGAACCCGGTTTTAAGTCAGTAGGTGCACCAGTTTTCATTTCTAGAGGAGGAGTGACCAAACCCAAGGAGGTTCGACCGAACCACCCTAGGTTCGACCGAACTCTGGGTAGGTTCGGCCGAACCTCCCTGCTCCTATTTCGTCGCTTCGTTTTCGGCTTGTGCGATTTGCTTTAATCTTAGCCGTTGGATTGTATTTTCTACCTAGACTATATATACCTTTTCTAAGCCTCTTTGTTGAGTATTCACAAACATTTAAACACATAGAGAGGTTTTGAGAGGGTTTGTGAGGAGCATTTGAATTTTCTATACAATTCATGCTTGTAATTCTTGAGTTCATTCATCATCAATATTACTCCATAGTGCAAGGGTGGGTTTTTTCTCCTGGTTCTCGGGTTTTCCCACGGTAACATTGTCTTCCTTTTACTTGCTTTAATTCCTTCAAAGTTGTTCTTGATTGTTATGCTTGTTTGTTCATTGCTATTGTGGGTTGATTGCAAGTTAGTTGAACACTTTAATCCTTACACGGCCACATCAAAACATTGTTTACCAGGTTGGTATTATTCTAGCTGCACTATTACTCGTGTATAATTGTATAAATGTTGCTGCCTTCAACCCTTACGCTTTTGTTGAACTAATTTACCAAACTTAAGTTGAGGCTTAATAAATCAAATTGGTTCAGGGATATCAAGTTGTCAAGGACAACATTGGAGCATTTAGCCGACTCATTTTGAGGAATTAGCACGCAGGTAATTTTTTTCAAATTTGATTCTTAGTAGTTAAAACGATTAGATAATGTCGGTCCTTAACTTTTTACTTCTCCCTAATTTTGCAGGAGAAGCAGAGTAAATAAACTAAGAGCAGGTATATTGATGCCTTTCTTATTTTCTACATAATAGTCTATGAAATGTTTTAGAGAGAAGTAAGGCATTGAGTGCATCTAATTTAATTCATTTCTCGTTCGTGCATGCATAGACTAGTTGTATTGATATTGAAATTGATTAATGATTAAACATCATTCATGGCTAGCTCATTTTTATATTTGCCGAGGTCAGACTTAGATATTTCTAAATACATTGTTCGTGTGCCTAATTAAGTAGTTCGACCCTGGATTATCACCTGAGTTGTCTGTTGGTTGGGCTCAGGGATGGATCTTGGTTCAGGCCGATGGGGGGTTGACCCTCCCAAGATGATTCCTTTTTAATACTCCTGAAGTCCTGATTAGATAGTTGAATGATTTTGGTTCAGGTATATGTTGCCTTGTAACTCTGTAAGGATATAAAAAGGTGTGGCACTGATCTATTTATAAAGTGGATTGTGCTTTACTTTAGAGAGTTTTTGTGATCTACTGTATATGTAATGAAATTTGAGATTAGTTGAGTAGCAATCTGGAAGTTGCCTTTAGTTTGATTACTTTCAATATTGTTTTTTTTTTTTTTATTTCTTGTTCTCAAATATTAAGAAAACAATTTGTGCTAACTGATCAATTTCCCATTTTCTGTACGTGTCCAAGAGATGTGCAGTGGTTTGTAGCAGCTAGCTTGCTTGGCATCCTTCATTGTCCTAACTCGGAACTGATGACGATTATTTCTCTTGATTGAAGAGTCTCAAGGCATATAGCTTATGCCTTTATTTGTAGCTGAGCATCTCTTTTTCAAAAATAGGTGAAGCTCCTAAGGCATGGGAAAGAAGAGCCATACATTTGACATTGGCTAAATATGTGCAAATCTTTGCTTTGGGGAAAACTTTGCGGCAATTGAATACTTCACACGTATTTATTTATGTTGTTGTACTCGTAACAAGTATTGTTGTACCAAGTCAAGTCAAGTCTCTTTCCTCCAGAGCAACAATTTGCATGATTGTTTCAAGGATTATGCAAGGAAAGATGGGTTCTCAATCTTCTCATTGTATTGGACTTGTTCAATTTTAAGAAGCCTAAAGATTGGGAAAAAAAGGGTTTTTCTACACAGTACCCCTGAGATATTCACTTTTCCAAGCTGTGCCCACCTATTTTCAAAATTCCACGCTGTAACCCCAAATTACCTATAGTGTGTACGATATAACCCCTCCACTAATCCTAAAGTTAATATTGTTAACTTTTGCTAAAAAATCTGTTAAAAATTAAAAATAAACCCCTTACTCCTCCAAACCCACCCACCACCAACCCCTTTCTCCTCCAAACCCAGCGAACCCCACCCCATCCACTAGACTTCACCCAAGCCACCGCACCCACCCTACGAACCGCACCTAACCTGCGAATCGCACCCAGCAACCACCGCGCCTAGCAAACCACCGCATCTAGCCACTAATGTGCAACGCACCACCGCCGTTACTTAGCTTGAAAAATTTTCGACCAAAATTAAATGCATAGTCGTGCAGATTTTAATTGAAAAAAACAATTAAAATAAGTTTTGTGCATTTAATCTCAAACTAATTAAACCAAAATTGATGAATTTAACAATGAAAATCAAATTGGGGAAAAAAAATTAGGGTTTTCTATTGTTTTCGAACCAAATCTTTGATTTCAAAACGAAAACAACAATTAACAACTTAATTTTGCAATCCGAATCCAATGAAACTAATAAAGCCTTAAACTAATTTGTTAAAATTTTCTGCAAATTTTCAAATAAAATTCCTCCATTCTTGCGAACACTTTCTTTGGTGTAGGTGAGGCGATATACGATGATGGGGTTGTTGGTGTATGGTGGTTGTTGGTGTGTGGCGGTTGCTAGGTGTGGCGGTTGCTGGGTGTGGCGGTTGCTAGGTGCGGTGGTTGCTGGGTGCGGTGGTTGCTAGGTGTGGATAAATAAAACTAACGGAATTGGCAAACGGCGACTTAACGGAAGGCTACAGTGTAGACACTAAATGTACCTTGAGGGTACAATGTAGAATTTTGAAATTGGGTGGGCACACCTTGAAAAAGTCAATAATACCACAGGGGCACTGTGTAGAAAATCCCAAAAAAAATTATTGTTTGTTGTTTTTTACGGTTTAAAAGGATATAATTTGTTATTATTAATCCCAACTTTTGGCCATTTACTTTCATTAATCCCAACTATCAATTATTTTTTAATAATCTCAACTATCGATATTTTTTAAGAAAAATTGCCCGGAATAATCCCACCTTTGGGCCGTCTGCCCAAAATAATCCCACCTTTGGATTATTTTTAAATAATCCGACCTTTATAGCTAATCCGCTCTCAATGGTCCCAAGTGACCTGTAACCGGTTGAGGAGGTAAATTTTTTTTTAAAAGTTTTATTTACACGTGTCACAACGTGATTGGTCAAAAAAAAGTTTTAATTTTAACTTTGATTTTAAGAATCGATTAATATTAACAGTTAATTAACATTAATTAACAATTTAAAATAAAAAAAATTAAAAAAAAAAAATTAAACCAGCCACCACAGCCACCTCGCTGCCCCTACCAGACGAGGCCCGGAGAAGCCAGCCACACCGAAGACCCCTGCGCGCCGTTCTCCGACCCTCCCTACCCCTTTCCATCGCCACTAATCCACCACAACCATAAATCGAGGCGTGGGAAGGGGATGATGGTCGAAATTGGGGCGTGGGGAAGGGAGGTAGCCAGAAAAGGGACGGAAAAGGGAAAAGGGGCTGAGATCGAGGGTTTAGAGAGTTTGCAAGGTGTTGGGTTTGGAGTCGCGCTGGAGTGGGTTGGTGGTTCGGGGGAGGGGGAAGGAGGTCGTCGGCGCTGCGGTGGGATTGGAGTCGTGCTGGGGTTGGGTTTGGGTTGGGGCTAGAGTCGGGGGTTGGAGCCGCGCTGGAGTGCGTTGGGGTTGGACCCCGATGCCGGCGCTGGGGTGGGTTCTGGTGACCGGAGCCACGGAGGTAGGGACTCAGGCGGTGCTGGGGTGGGGTTTTTTTTTTTTTTTTTGAATTTTTTCTATAAAAAATATTAATTTTTTGTTATAAATTTATTTATTTTATTTTATTTTATTTTATTTTATTTTATTTTTATTTTATTTTTATTTTTTAGACCAATCACAGGCCGCCACGTGTCAAGTAACTTGATATAACAGGTTACATGACCGGTTGGGACCATTTATAGCGGAGTGGGTATAAAGGTGGGATTATTTAAAAATAATCCATAGGTGGATTATTTTCAGCGGCGGCCAAAAGGTCGGATTATTGCGGGCAATTTTTCCTATTTTTTAATAATCCCAACTTTGGGGGGGGGGGCATTTTCTTTCATCAGGTCAAAACCGTTCAACGAAAGTCAATGACCCGTTATACCAGATTATTGGACACGAGTCAACATGTGATTTGTCCAAAAAAAAAAATTTAAAAAAATTAAATAAAAAAAAAATTAAACTAGCCAGCCATCCCCAGCACCAACGCCACCCTCACTAGCCCCTCACCTAAAACCACCTCCTCCCTACCCTTTCCAGAAACCGAAATCCTCCCTAACACCACCAAGAACCCAACCTCAGCCGCTTGAAATTTGGAACCCACCCAAAAATCAAGGATGTGGTGGTTTTGGCACCCGAAACCATCTTGAAAACGAACGGGTGAGGTTGTTTCAAGGGACTGGCCTGGGTATGGAGATCTGGTGTTTTTGGCGAAGGGGAGTAGAGTTGTGGTGGTTTCAGACTTTCGAGAGAAGATAGGTGTGAAAATGATGGCTTGCGGATTGTTATCTGTAATACCCGTATATTTTACGATTTGATAAAATATAAAATTAGAGCTTTTATATATACAAATATATTATTTTGATAGAATTTTAATAATATGTTTTATTAAGTATTTTATTTAATCTCTTTTATGAGAGGATATATATACCCCTCACCCTAATAATATTCCCTAAGAGGTGTTCAACCGTAAGTTTGGATTTAATACATAAATCTTTTGACCAAACTTTGTTTACCTTTATTTTTTCTATGGTGATGTCATGCGTAATTATCCTACATGTATAATCATATTTATGGTTTGCTCCATCGTTAATCGCAACTATTGTTAGCATAGTTCGTTGTTTCATGGATCTTTGATCGTGTTCAATGTTTAAGTATCGATCATAAGGTAATCACACTAAATTTTAGAGATGTTTGTATTATATTTCGTATTATTATTATGTGTGATATGATTTATTAATGGTACCCCTTCTATATATGATTAATTATTATGATATTATATGATTTGATTTGATTTGAATATCATATTACTTTTGTTGTATATAATTGATTGTACAATTATTTCTAGGGTTTTAATGTTGTTGTTATAGGGAGTATTGTGTTATCGAGGTTTTAGAGTTGTTAATGTAGAGTATTATTTTTTGGGTTGTGAGTTGATTATATTTGGGTATTAGTTTTATTGCCCGGCCCTATAAGAGTTGAGATATTAATTTTATGAATTGAGTTGATCTTGTTACATTATTTGGGAACATGTGCCATTGT